CACATCCGACACACACTCACGCGCTCAACCGAACAGGGCTCGCAAATCGACGGCCGTTGCGTCCGATTGTTCTGAAATGCGGCGAGCGCTCCAACCGGGTCAGTGGTCGGAGCTCGCCCATCGTGTCATTGCAGCGTCGGCGGGATCGTCGGTCGTGGTCGGTCATATTGATTTGGTAGAGGTGCGGATTTTAATTGACACAGGAGCATCGGCGACCATTATATCTGATTTGATTTATAACATCCTTCCCGTTCAAAGTCGTCCCTTGCTTCCCGTTGACGTGCCATGCTATGCTGCTAACGGGGGCTCGCTGGGCATCATTGGGCAAATCCGCGCCAAAATTTGCATTGGAGACATTAAATTATCCGGCCCTGTTTTGGTTTCCTCCTCACTGGCGGTTCCGTGCCTGTTGGGGACGGATTTCTTGGCCAAAATGCCCATTCGTATCTTGATCGACCAGGGGTGCATCGAGCTCCCGTCGGGCCGACGTGTAACGTTTTTGTCTTCCCCCACCACGGAGCGTCGGGCGTTTGCGACCGTGCAGGTGCTCGTGGCAAAAACTGTGCGCGTACCCCCGGGGGCTCAGATGCTCGTCCCTCTTAGGTTGCGTCGGCCATTTGCTGAGGGGGTTGCGGATCGGGGGGTCTTGTTGGGACCATCTCGGGCCGGGGTCAATGGACCCGATTTGCTAGCGGCTCAGACCATGGTGAAAGGGGATGGGGACCCCTTCATTGCAGTCCTTAATGTAGGATCGCGAACGGCCGTGGTTCCTCAAGGGACCGTGCTTGCACACGCAACGCCGGCACCCTATGAGGAACCACTCGTGGGTCAGGTAAGCACCGATCCTCCGTCGCGACCGCATTCGGACTGTGATGACGGATGGCTGGATGCGCTTTGCGCGGGATCAGTGGACCTGTCCAACTCGCAGCGTGCGCAGCTGCGAGTTCTCCTGAAAGAATTTGCCGACGTTTTTAGTCAACACAAATTTGATATTGGTTGTACTAAATTGCTGCGACACCATATTGACACGGGTGACAGCGCGCCAATCTGCCAAAATCCCTTTCGGTTGAGTCCCGCTGAAAAGAATCATGTCAAATCGGCCGTTGATGACATGCTAGCCGCCGACATCATTTCCCCTTCCAACAGCCCGTGGGGCGCGCCGATCGTTTTGGTGAAAAAACACGACGGCTCATTGCGGTTTTGTGTCGACTTTCGGCGATTGAACAAAATTTCTGTGGCAGATGCGTACCCGCTTCCTCGAATGGATGAGTCGCTCGATGCCTTGGCGGGGGCGCGATTCTTTTCCACCCTGGATTTACTTTCTGGATTCTGGCAGCTTCCTCTGGATGACGAATCCAAACCTAAGACTGCTTTCCGTACACAGCAAGGTTTCTTACAATTTAACCGCTTGCCGATGGGCTTACATTCTGCGCCAGCAACTTTTCAGCGGTTAATGGAACTGGTCTTGGCAGGCTTGCAATGGGATTCGTGTTTAATTTACTTGGACGATGTCATCGTCTTTAGCAAATCATTTGAGGAACACCTCCAGAGGTTGCGTGCTGTTTTTCTCAAAATGCGGGCTGCCAATTTGAAATTTAAACCGCAGAAGTGCCATTTGCTCTGCGAATCGGTGCAGTATTTGGGTCACATTGTTGGGCGCTCGGGGATATCCACTGATCCCGCCAAAACGGAATGCGTCAGCTCCTGGCCAACTCCCACCTCGGTGGGAGAGGTCAGGAGTTTCATTGGGTTTGCGTCGTACTACCGACGGTTTGTGGCTGACCATTGCATGCCTTGACGTCCAAGGGAGTCAGGTTTCATTGGGGGCCGGAGGAGGAGGCTGCTTTTCGCGCCCTCCGGAATGCCCTGGTGGGGGCTCCGCCGTTGAATTACCCCGATTTCTCACAACCCTTCTTGCTCGATACAGACGCAAGTAACATTGGGGGCGTGCTGTCCCAGCTCAATGGTGGCGTAGAGCATGTGGTGGCTTACGGTAGTCGGGTACTGTCTCCGGCGGAACAACGGTACTGTGTTACCCGTCGGGAATTATTGGCAATTGTTTATTTCGTTCAGCAGTACCGCCCGTATCTGTACGGTCGACGTTTCACCGTCCGTACAGATCATGCGGCTCTGCAGTACGCCCTGCGGGTTCAACAACCATCCGGGCAGTTGTCTCGATGGTTGGAGATTCTCCAAGACTACGACTTTGTCACCACATATCGTAAGGGCATCCGCCACACGAACGCTGACGCCCTGTCGCGGTTGCCACCCACTTCGGAGTGCGCTTGCCTCTTGGGTTCGGGGCGTTGTAGGCCCCCGAACGTGACCACCGATTCGGTCCTCGTGGCCACCGCCGATGCGCCTTCGGCTTTGGGTCCTATCGAGCAAGAAGGGAGGGATTCGTTGCTGGGGTTGTCGGTTGCGGAGTGGGGATGCCTCCAAATGGAGGACACCTCCCTCCTCGCTCTGCGCCGTCGCACCGGGGGGGTTGGTCAGGGGGTGGCGAACGTTGACTCGTGGGGGTTGTTCCAGGGGCTTTTAATGCACTGGGACGGAAAATCCCGCCGCCAACGGCTCGTGGTGCCTGCAGCATTGAGGGGTAAGGTGGTATGGGCTGCACATGAGCGGCTCCTGCACTTGGGGGTTCACAAGACCTTTGCCATGCTCCAGCTCGATTTCTTCTGGCCGGGCATGGCAAAGGACGTGAGGGATCTCCTGGGGTCATGCACGCAATGCGCGCAGCGGAAGCCACCAGCGAGGGGGTCCAACCCTCCGCTGCAGTCCATAAAGGTTTCCCGGGTTAACGAGCTCGTTGCTCTGGATATTCTCGGGCCATTTCCCGCTACACCCAGGGGAAATAGGTATTTATTGACAGGGGTCGAATACTTTACGAGATGGCCCATGGCCTGGCCCCTGGCCAACCAGTCGGCAGCAGCCATCGCGGAGGCCTTTGTCCAGGGCTATGTCCTCGACAAGGGTGCTCCGGAACGGCTGCTGACTGACCAGGGTAAGAATTTTTCGGGGAAACTCCTCCGCGAGGTGTGCGACCTCTTGGGTACGGAGAAAATTCGGACCTCCCCGTATCACCCACAAACTGACGGGATGGTGGAACGGCTGCATCGGACTATCACATCCATGCTGTCCCAGCAGGTATCGGAATCCCAGACAGATTGGGACCTTCGCATTGCCGGTGTGTTACAAGCCTACAGGATGGCTCCCCATGCGGCCACCGGATTTTCCCCTTTCTTTTTAATGTATGGCCGCGAGGCTAATCCCCCTGTGACGACGCAGCTGAAGCTCTCGGCGCCTCAGGCGAAGTCTACATTGTCCGAACACGTTAAATTTAACATCGGCAAATTATCTGAGGCGCGGGAAGTGGCCGTGCAAAATTCTGAACTCCGCCAGAAGGCGAACGAGAGGCTTAGGCTGGGGCGGGCACATGTGTTCAAATGGTAACCGGGGGACAGGGCATGGTTGCACTGTCCCCAGGTGCTGCTGGCGACCTCGTCAAAGTTGGTACGGCCGTGGCGGGGGCCCGTGGAGGTCGTACAGGTTATGCGGCCGCAATGTGTTCGCGTCAAATGGGGGAGGCGTCGGTGGTACGTGCACCCCTCAAGGTTGAAACCGTTCATTGCGCCGCCCCGTGGTTCGCACACACACACGCATAGCCAAACGTGTGAGGGGTCCGCCGACTCCCCGACGTCGCTGCTTTCGCCTAACCTGACATCAACTGTTCCATCTCCAGGTGCAACAGGAGTGACGGGTCCACGACCGCCAACCCCTCCCGGGGGGGTCGGGGGTCACTCGGCGGCGAAGCCAGACTCTCTCGCACCCGGACCGTCAACAACCGCCACTGAGCGTGCCGGGACGGGCCCTTGTGACGGGCCCGCCGCGAGAACGCGCGCCAAAACGCGCAGACTTTTGTGAGGTCGGCCGTTGGGGGGCCATTGCGGACGGTGGGGGGAGGCGTCCGGAGCGCGTGTATATATGTTGGTTTTGCGGAATGGGGTATTTATTCGGGGGGGTGCGTCGGGTTATTTTTTTTCTTCCTGTTTCCTGTTGTTGTTGTTGTTATGGTTGTCATTGTTCTTGTTAAAATTACGCGAGGCACACACGGCTTTGGGGAGGGATGCACCTTTATTCTGATTTTTTTGCAGCCGGGGACGGCTGCGAGCTGTACAGGGGGGGGGTGATGTAGAGGTGTAATTGTGTATGGGCACGGATGGCTAACAAACACAAGGGGCGTGGTTAGGGCCGTACACAGAGGAGGTGCTCACACCGACGTCCGCACCTGCATCCCCCACGGGCCCCTCCCGGGGGCCGAGTACTATAAAAGGTGGTGAGCCGGAGGGCTCGAGGTCGAGTATTAGCTTTAACCAGCGAAGAGTGAAGACCAGCTAGAATAGGCCCCGGAGCTCCCCTGGCTCGCTGTCCTTGTCAGGGCCGACCAGGGCAAGCCTGTGGCGTGGCCCCGAGAGCCCACACTGACGTTCTTATCAGAGCCGGTCTGGAGACTCAGGGTGCCGGGATCCCAGCTTGACCAGGGCTGGGATAGGTAGCCTCCCCTAGCTCCGTAGTGGAGGACTCGGGCGTAGGTTAGCGGGGTTAGATGTTGTGTCTCCCTGTTAGACGAGTGAAGGGGACGATACCCCTTTAAGTGTATGTGTACCCGTTACTGTGCACAAGTTGGTGTTAATAAATAAGTGTGCCTCCGACCCCGTCGTCAAAGCCTCCTGAATATTTACTACACACGTATGAACACTTCAACACGAATCGATGAATAATAATAAAAAAACGGTATTACAACTTTGATAGGGCTTCTTGTTGCTGGCTGCTTCGCGTTTCTGGCAATTGTGCCCGGTGCAAAGCGATTGACAAAACAAAATCGATCCATCACAGGCAAGGTTCAATGTATTTATCAGATCAGAATCTTTTTATTTATTTATGAAATCGTATGCACTCCAAACATCACACAGTAATGAAAGGCAAAGATTCCCCTTATAGCCCTCAACAGTCTGTTGAGGCAAGTGCTGTTAACGAGTACGGCATGACACGCGAGGGCGTGGTTGGCCAACACCACGCCCGGCCGCCTTTGTTTCCCCACACCAGGTACTCATTTGAGGCTGAGTCGACCTAGGGGAGGCCCGGGACGGGTTCAGATAATCGCCAACGGTGTTGGCCGCGAGCGGGAATCGAAATCGGGTCGCCGGGTTCGTAGCGCAGCATAGCGCTGACCACGACACCACCGCTCCCCAAGCACGCACACACACTCGTCACACACACAGTCGTCACGCACACAGACATCACGCACACACACTCGTCACACACACACTCGTCACACACACAGTCGTCACGCACACATACTCGTCATCGCGCAGTCGTCACGCACACACACTCGTCACACACACAGTCGTCACGCACACAGACATCACGCACACACACTCGTCACACACACACTCGTCACACACACAGTCATCACGCACACACACTCGTCATCGCGGCGGCACAGATCTCAACGTGGCGGCCTTCGTAGGTGCTCACTGACCGCACGACCCACCTTGTGCTCAATCTACGCCTAAGCCATTTCTCTCTCTTCTCGCCCCCACCCAATTCATTCAATCACAGTCGTCATGCTCACACATCATCTACTGTCAGAATAATGATTATTCTCTTCATACGGATGTAGTGTAGTAGAACGACACTACTGCATTGCCTCGATATGGGGGCTGTAGGCAGGTGTCACGGGGTCGTGTCGGGCCGTGACACACTCTGCGTGAACCCAACAGGACACGTGACTGGATAAAGGGGGGCCAGGGGCCCCAGGGGGGTCACGTGGTTGGGACTCGGGCCTTCACGAAGGATCGGGAAGGGGGGCGTGGCCTGGGGCGGAGCTGGCCACGCCGGAGTGGTTATAAGCGGGGTGTGGACAGACAACTGGGCTGTTCTGTGCTGTTCTGCTATGCTGCTTTGTCATCTCTAATACCTTAAATATAAATTGTCTTATGGTTGTTATTGTTTGACTTGCATGCCACTGGGATATTTGCTCACATCATTGATATATGGTGCTTTTTCTGGAAGACTTTGCTGTTTTTTCTTGGATTTTTTTGTTTGCGCGTAGTCACTTTAAGATGTTTCTTGTTCATGTTTTTGTTTGTTGCGGTTGCACCCGATTCAAGAGCCGAATGGCTCACAGGGCTATACCAAATACATGAAACTGAAACTCTGGGATGAAGCTCTCCGCTAGTCGACCAGGAAGCGTGGTGGGCGGTCCTGGTCCAGTGATGTAGAACCCTCGTGGGTTAGCTAAGTTAGGAACGGTGGCTACCACTTTAATTCGTGATGTTAAGTGTTAGCTAATCAATAGTATTGCCTCCAAAGTCCAGTGTGCGCCTCAATTTAACCCACGACACGGCTATCACTCATTAACCCAATTCATTCAATCCATTCACCATCGTCATTTACTGTCATCAATTTTGCTTTCACCGAATTCACGCATCATCATCATCACCACAGATTCGCCCCCATTGCTTCCTTTCATCTATTTCATTCACCTCATTTTCCACCATTACATTCACACACGCGTTATTGTTGTTGTATAGTTGTTAATTATCCGTAAAGCACGTTGGTTAATGCGCTATTTAAATCCTGTTAAGATAAGATTCCAAAACGTCTGTTTGATAAGCCAAATGTAAGTCTATCCGTAACATTCACGCACGCACCACTACCACGAGCAGCAATGCCCCAACGCAAAATCAAAGAGGACAACATACGGCGAGATTCAACTTGGGATGCCAACAACAACAACAGCAATTCCTGGAACAGAGTTCCCAGACCCTTTTTACGGCTCAAAATAATGGTGGGCTACTGCTGTGGCTACTGTGGATGCTGATGTAGCTACTGCTGTGCCTATTGCTGTAGTTACTGCTGTAGCGACTGCTGTGGCTGCTTTAGCGACTGATGTGGTTACTGCTGTGGCTACTGCTGTAGCTACTACTGTGGCTACTGCTGTAGCTACTACTGTGGCTACTGCTGTAGCGAGTGCTGTGGCTGCTGTAGCGACTGATGTGGTTACTGCTGTGGCTACTGCTGTAGCTACTACTGTGGATACTGGTGTAGCGACTGCTGTGGCTGCTGTAGCGACTGATGTGGTTACTGCTGTGGCTACTGCTGTAGCTACTACTGTGGCTACTGCTGCTGCTACTGCTGTATCTACTACTGTGGTTACTGCTGCTGCTACTGTTGTATCTACTACTGTGGTTACTGCAGCTGCTACTGCTGTATCTACTACTGTGGTTACTGCTGCTGCTACTGCTTGTATCTACTACTGTGTCTGCTGCTGCTACTGCTGTAGCTACTACTGTGGATGCTGCTGCTACTGCTTCTGCTCATCGATGACGGCGGTTCTCACGATCTGCATGGGGCCGGGCTGCTTCGTGTGGAGTTTGATCTCTCGCGCCATCTGACACGAGATGCAGCAACAGCAGATGTGCATCACGTAGTCGTCGCATATGGAGCCCTGGAACACAAAATTCATAAACAAACATAAAATTAAACAGAGACAAAGATCCACAGCTATGGCCTTAGGGGCCGTCCAAAAATAACGTCACGCACTTAGCGGGGGGGGGGGGAGTCAGACATTTGTGACGATGTGTGACGAGGGGGGGGGGGTGAGAAATGTGACGTCACATCAAAATGCGCAACTTTAAATAAATATAGACAACACGTTCTACTTAATTAAATCTACGTTTTAACAAATGTTTTCTCCAAAAACATCAGAGTGCAGCGCCACATTAAATACGCACTACAATGACAATAGTTTATAGCGATTTGAAGCATGTTTAATTTGTTTTGTGACGTCATATTTGAGGGGGGGGGGGTCTGACTTTGTGACGCCGTGTGACGAAGGGGGGGGGGTAAAAATCGTCCAAAATCGCGTTACGTAATTTATTGACGGCCCCTTAACAGACCGTCGGGGCAAATGGTGTTAGCGGAGCAACGAAGGGTGGGTGGCCACCACCACGCCTGGCCGCCTTTGTCTCCTCAGTGCTGATGTGTACGCACTGCGCGTGACGTGGAGCAATCATCAGTGTGTGCGGCTGATTCGATTCGTGAGAAGTACTTTTGAGTTACATTTTTTTTGTCAATGCGGAGGCAAGAGGGGTGACGCCCCGCTTATCTCTTTCGTTGCATTTTATATCCTCCACAGCAATGATTCCGTCCAATGATTACGACAACAACTAAACAATGGTTGCGCGTGAAGTCCTTCTTTTCTACATTTCCTGGCCGCTGGTTCCAGACGGACGTTTAGTAGAACCCCTCTTAACGACCACCCTTGTTAAGGACTAATCGCTTAACGACGGGTCTCCATTGAGCCCAATGTGTAGTGTACAGTGTAGTGTATAGTAGTGTGTGTCTATTGTGTGTGTCTCTTTCTGTTTGTCTCTGTGTTGTCTCTCTCTGCTTGTGTGTCTGTCTATGTGTCTCCGTGTCTGTGTTTTGTCTCTCTCTCAAATTTAGTTCTACCTGATTACGGCTGCTTGTGTTGCAATCGAAACGTCGTGCTCTATTGAATTTATTTTCTTTCTACGTGACTTTACCGAAAGAACCAAAAAGCAATTCCTGCAGTCACGAAAGCTTCAAATCAAGTTTATAGTAGTGTAATATATAGTGTAGCGCCGCTGCTTACGACGAATCGTTTAGCGACAGGCGCAGGACGCGGCTCGCTCTCGTAGTGAGAGAGAGGGGGGAGGAGGCGACTCAGGGACGCGAGGAGGAGGAACCACACACGAGCATGAAGGCAATAGCAGCAGCCACCAACTATTACTCCAAGCTCTGCGGCCCTCTACATATCACGGTGTTATTGGCAAATGAATGAGTGCTTATGTGTGGGAGGAAACCGGACAACCTGGAGAAATACCCTCGCGTGCCTGGGGGGCAGAGATAATAAAAGACTCTATCCACATACATACGAAACACGTGGAGTTGGAACTCCACGTGTTCCGTACAATGTGGACGTTGTTGCTGTACCACCTTCTGGAAAATGCCAGGGCACGGCTCATGCTCGACGCCCAAAGACTGACGTTGTTTCCCAAACACCTGTGAGCTTGAGACTCATCACACCCTCGCGTCGACGGTGGCCCGGAGCACAGGACACGTGCAATAATCCAGTCGGAGGGTCCTCTTGTAGCACCTTACCCTGGCACACGCAGGCTATGGCTCTCGCTCGAAGATGTCCACGGGAATAAGATAAGTTATTTCCCAACACCTGTGCACGTGGATCCATCAAAAACCACGCATCGACAATGGCTGGATCACAGGACACGTGCAATAAGCCAGTGGCAGTGCCCCCGTCGACAAGAGCTCGTCGCTGAGCTGGCGTCTCCTCACCTGGATGTGGTAGCGCTCACGTATGGCGGTTCTCAGTGCCACGGAGCTGCCGGGCAGGATGGGCAAACAGATGCACTCGCCAAAGCCCTTGGCCATCCGGCAGTGGAGGCAGAGCATGCAGAAGGTGCCGCAGAGACCTGGGCACGCAGCAACGGCATCGTCACAGCAGAGTCTACACCAACGCTCGTTAATTGGCCCGACAGTAGAGTCCTTCCTCTTAGCGACGGTAATTGGTTCCATGAAACCGGTCGTTAAGTGAATTGGTCGTTAAGCGAGTAAAGAAAATGCACCTTAAAGGCTTAATTCGTTCCGATAGAATCGAGAGTTACACTTTTTCACCCAAAAAAACGTACTTCATAATATTTAAACAATGGATATTAAAATATAAAGACACTAACAACAACAAAAACGCATCATATTGAAAGAAACGTGGTTAATCAATGCATTATTTAATATTTACCGTACCTACAACAGCCCGTCGTTAACAGGGGAATGGTCAGTAAGCGAACACATTGGGCACTATGGAGGCACTACACCAGGGGTCCTCAAACTACGGCCCGCGGGCCACATGCGGCCCGCCGAGGACATTTATCCGGCCCGCCGGGTGTTTTTGCCGCCGCTGCCTGTCTATTACTTTTTTTCTACATGAGAAGGACGGTCATTGGTGGAAGAGGGAGAGGGGGCGGAGTTCCCCCCCAATCAGACTGCATTGATGGGCAGTGCAGTCTGTATGTCTCTGTGTGGGCAAAGTTATTGCTGGTATATTGTTTTTGTAGCGCTGTATATATTGGTATTTTACTAATAGCAATATTGACTCCCTAGGAAACAATGATGTCAAGAAAGAGAAAAATTGACTCGGAGTGTAGGATATTCAAAGAACAGTGGACTTATGATTACTTTTTCATGCAGTACAAGGAAAGAGCTGTGTGTCTGATATGCCAGAATATAGTGTGTTTATGGGAAATGCAGGAATGTTATTAGTACAACATATGCAGCACGGGCATATGTAGTACTAATAACATCCTGCATTTCCCATAAATATGCTAAATTCCTCTTGATATGCAAATTCTTTTGACAAGGCGCTCTTTCCCCCGTTTCCAACCCAGCTTATATATGCTCCAAGCTCGTGTGCTGTTTCATTCAGACGCTGTCTCCCCGACAGACCTGGTTTTCATCTGAAGACGGCTGCTTGCGTTGTGGCCGAAACGTCGTGAGAATTATTTTATTATGTTTTATTTTTATTATTTTATTACTTCCCTTCTACGTGACTTTACCGAAAGAACCAAGAAGAGAGGATATCTATGAAAAGGTTTGCCAAACTGAATGGTTTGGAGCTGAACTGGGCTAAACTAGCCAGTGTGACAACTGATGGTGCTCCTAGCACGGTGGGGTCTAAGAAAGGAGTAATTGCTCGCATTAACCAAGAGATGGACAAACATAACCATTCTCATCCAATAGCCATACACTGCCTCATCCACCAACGAGCGCTGTGTAGTAAATCACTGAAGTGGGACTCTGTTATGAAATTTGTGGTATCTTGTGTTAACTTCATTAGAGCTCATGCACTAAACCACAGACAATTTCAGGAATTTCTGTCTGAGCTAAATGTTGAATATGAAGATGTTCTGTATCACACAGAAGTCCGTTGGCTGAGTTGAGGGAGAGTTTTGAAACGTTTCTATGACTTACTTCCACAGATTACAGCTTTTCTGCTTTAAAAAAACAAAGAAGTACCAGAGCTCAATGATGCAGAATGGAAATGGCATCTTGCCTTTCTGACAGATGTAACAGAGCTACTCAACAGTTTCAATGTGCAACTTCAAGGAAAGGGGAAGCTCATCTGTGATATGCAATCAGATTTCAAAGCATTTGAAGTAAAATTAGGCCTCCTCATCAAACAAGTGAAGGAGGAAAACTTCTGCCATCTCCCCACAACTCAAAATCTGTTAGCGGAAAAACCATTGGTTGCATTCCCAAACAAAACATGTGTGGATTCACTGGAAAAATTGCAAAAGGAGTTCCAATTTGGATTTAAAGAGCTTCATCTCCATGAACAGGACATACAGCTTTTCCGTAACCCATTTTCTATTGACATTGAAAATGTGGATACAATTTACCAAATGGAACTGGCTGAACTGCAGAATTGTGACTCTCTGAAAGACACATTCAAGTCAAGCAGCCTTCATAATTTCTATGCATCTCTCCCCTCTGAGACATATCCTCCTCTCAGGAACCATGCACTCAAAATGGCAACCATCTTTGGCAGCACTTATGTCTGTGAACAGACTTTTTACAGAATGAAACATTTGAAATCTCCAACCAGATCTAGACTAACGGATGCACACTTGCATCACTTGTTACGACTAGCAGTGACAAATATGGAACCGGACATTGACCATCTCATTAGCCAAAAGCAGGCCCATAGTTCCCATTGAAATACTGGCAAGTTCGTTGATTTAACTTTACTTGTTCTTCATTTTAAATATTGTATTTGTTCCCGTTTTGATTCTTTACTTCAAAATAAGATATATGCAGTGTGCATAGGAATTTGTTCATAGTTTTTTTTTAACTATAGTCCGGCCCTCCAACGGTCTGAGGGACAGTGAACTGGCCCCCTGTTTAAAAAGTTTGAGGACCCCTGCACTACACTATACACAACTATACACTACGCTATACACTGCTATACACTACACATTAGGCTCTATGGAGGCACTACACTTTACACTACTATACACTACGCTATACACTACACATTAGGCTCTATGGAGGTCCATCTTTAAGCGATTAGTCGTTTACAGGGGTGCTCGTTAAGAGGGGTTCTACTCTACACTACTAAACACTACTCTACTGTATACAACACTACTATACAATACACTATACACGATAATACTATACACTACAATACACTACACTATGTGCTATATTACTATATACTACTATACACTACACTATACACGACACATTGGGCTCTATGGAGGTCCGTTGTTCATCGATTAGTCCTTAACAGGGGTGGTCGTTAAGAGGGGTTCTACTCTACACTACGATACACCACACTACTATACACTACACTATACATTACACTACTATACACTACACTATACATTACACTAATAAAACACTACACTACTATACACTACACTATACATTACACTACTATACACTACACTACTATACACTACACTATACACTACACTATACATTACACTACTATACACTACACTATACATTACGCTATACACTACACTACTATACACTACACTACTATACACTACACTATACATTACACTACTATACACTACACTACTAAACACTACACTATACACTACACTACTATACACTACACTATACATTACACTATACACTGCACTACTATACACTACACTATACACTACACTATACATTACACTGCTATACACTACACTATACATTACACTGCTATACACTACACTACTATACACTACACTATACACTACACTACTAAACACTACACTATACACTCCACTGCTATACACTACACTACTATATACTACACTATACATTACACTACTATACACTACACTATACATTACACTATACACTACACGACTATACACTACACTATACACTACACTACTATACACTACACTATACATTACAATGATTACACTATACACTACACTACTATACACTACACTATACACTACACTATACACTACACTACTATACACTACACTATACATTACACTACTATACACTACACTACTAAACAGTGTTTAGTAGTGTAGTGTATAGTAGTGTAATGTATAGTGTACACTACTATACACTACACTACTAAACACTACACTATACATTACACTACTATACACTACACTATACACTACACTACTATACACTACACTATACACTACACTACTAAACACTACACTATACACTACATTACTATACACTACACTACTTTACACTACACTATACACTACACTACTAAACACTACACTATACACTACGATACACTACACTACTAGACACTACACTATACATTACACTACTATACACTACACTATACACTACACTACTATACACTACACTATACACTACACTACTAAACACTATACACTCCACTGCTATACACTACACTACTATACACTGCACGATGCACGACATGACTATATACTACACTATTATACACTACACTGTTATCCACTACACGATACACTACACAACAATACACTACACTATACACTACTAAACACTACACTATACATTTCAATACTATACACTCTTATATACTACACTACTATACACTACGCTACTATACACCACATTGTACACTACACTATACACTACATGACTATACACTACACTACTATACACTACACCAGGGGTCCTCAAACTACGGCCCGCGGGCCACATGCGGCCCGCTGAGGACATTTATCCGGCCCATGGTCACTAATTGGGCTGCGCCTGTGAGCACTAATTGGGCTGCGCTGGTGAGCACTAATTGGGCTGCGCTGGTGAGCACTCATTGGGCTGCGGTGGTGGGCACTGATTGGGCTGCGGTGGCGAGCACTGATTTGGCTGCACTGGTGAGCACTGATTGAGCTGTGGCGGTGGGCACTCATTGGGCTGCGCTGGTGAATGGTTCAATGGGCCAATTGACTGGACTTGCCCCTCAGGCCTAAGACTGCCAGCCCTCCCGTGGCTGCGCTTGACTGGCTCTCCCTCCCTCAGCTCCCTCACTTGCCCCTCGGCTCCACTCCCAGTGATATTCCTGTGTGCTGCGATCTGTGAACAAAACTGCAGGTGTAATTAACCTTTTAATGGCACCCGCACCAGTGTGAGCCTGGGGTAAAAGCGGAGTTCCCCCAATCAGACTGCATTGATGGGCAGTGCAGTCTGTATGTCTCTGTGTGGGCAAAGTTATTGCTGGTATATTGTTTTTGTAGCGCTGTATATATATTGGTATTTTACTAATAGCAATTTTGACTCCCTAGGAAACAATGATGTCAAGAAAGAGAAAAATTGACTCGGAGTGTAGGATATTCAAAGAAAAGTGGACTTATGATTACTTTTTCATGCAGTACAAGGAAAGAGCTGTGTGTCTGATATGCCAGAATATAGTGTCTGTGTTCAAAGAATACAATTTACGTCGACACTATGA